GGGCGTGGTGGCGGGCGCCTGTAGTCCCAGCTACTCGGGAGGCTGAGGCAGGAGAATGGCGTGAACCCGGGAGGCGGAGCTTGCAGTGAGCCGAGATTGCGCCACTGCACTCCAGCCTGGGGGAGAGAGTGAGACGCCGTCTCAAAAAAAAAAAAAAATCACATTGGACTTCAAAGATGGTAAATCTAAAATGCAACTTGAATTGTGCTGTGTAGTCAAACCCAGTTACAATAATGGATAGTCATAGCGGCCTTCAGCCTTCAAGAAAACATGTATAATATCCTCTGTCCTAAGACAGCAGGTAATTAGTTAACATAAGGTCTTAAAGATGTAAGTAAATTTTTGTTGTCTGGATACTTGACAAAGAAGAACTTATCTTGGGTCGTTGTGTGGCTCACGCCTGTAATCCCAGCATTTTGGGAGGCCAAGGTGGGCAGATAGCTTGATCCCAGGAGTTGGAGGCTACCCTGGGCAACATGGTGAGACCCCGTCTCTACAAAAACCACAAAAATTAGCTTGGTATGGTGGCTTGGGCCTGTAGTTCCAGCTACCCAGGGGGCTGAGGTGGAAGGATCACTTCAGCCCAGGAGGTCAAGGCTGCAGTGAGCTATAATTGCACCACTGCATTCTAGCCTAGGTAAGAGAGTAAGACCCTTTCTCAAAAAAATAAAAAAAGAGTAACTTATTCTGATACAATAATGGTAATTAAATGAAACCCCCATAGTACTGTCACATGAACATGGATCTGGCACCCTAGCCAACTGACTTTGTGGAATTCTCTAATATTATGTATGGCTTTCTGAATTGAAGCATGTTGTGTTACTAGTTGCTGTGTTTGTATTCATTTACATATTTATTCATTCAATAATTGGGGTGTGTACATGGTACCAGGTAATATTTTAAACATCCCTCTGCATCTATAGTTTTGGCAACAAATGTAATCAAAAGCAACAACATAAAAATATTAGCCCTTAAAACTAGTTTATTCTTGGATCCCAGATACAGATTATCTGAATTTTATTGCATGTATTTACAGGCAAAAAACTGTCAGATCTGGAAAGAGTTACCTCCCTGAAAGTATATAATTGGTTTGCTAACAGAAGGAAGGAGATCAAGAGGAGAGCCAATATTGGTAATGTATCAGTGAGGCTGCTTTTCTCTTGTGCTGCAGTTGTGAACGTCATGTTTATATTAAGATTAACTTCAGTTTAGAAACTGCAAGTCTAAAGGATCCTAACTTCTCTTTTTTTTTTTTTTTTTTGAGATGGAGTTTCGCTCTTGTTGCCCAGGCTGGAGTGCAGTGGCGCGATCTCGGCTCACCGCAACCTCTGCCACCCGGGTTCAAGTGATTCTCCTGCCTCAGCCTCCCGAGCAGCTGGGATTACAGGCATGCGCCACCACACCTGGCTAATTTTGTATTTTTAGTAGAGATGGGGTTTCTCCATATTGGTCAGGCTGGTCTCGAACTCCCGACCTCAGGTGATCTGTCCGCCTCGGCCTCCCAAAGTGCTAGGATTACAGGCGTGAGCCACCATGCCAGATCCTAACTTCTAGGACTAACAAAAATTGCCCTAATGTCTTTCATTGTATTTTTAATAAACCACAGTTAGTAGTATTTGCACTATTTGTATTGTAATGGTAATGACATTTTTATAAAACTCATTGTTCTTAAAGTTCTAGAATATAGAATTAGACTTGGCCCCTGAGCAATTGATTACTCCTGTGGTACATATGAAAGATACTTGTAGGGTCTTGAGAAAGGGAGTGTAATACCCAGAATTTATTATTACTGGACTACGACTTAGATATTACAAAACGATTAATAGTTTGGAATGAAAGAGACTTAATAGACAAGGAATGCAGCAAAAGGCAGAGATAAAGAGCATTTAAGAAATATGAATTCTCGATGTAATCATGTATACATGTATATATACACATATCAAAACATCACCTTGTACATTATAAATGTATACAATTTTTATTATATTTCAATAAAGCTGAACAGAGAAAACAAAAATGCCAGAAGTGCCCTAGAGGGAACTATGAATACAACTGAAAAAGGAAGAAATAAAGGATTTTTTCCCATTCAAAACTGTAATAGTAATATATAAGAATAAGAAATTTAAGTTGGTGAGTCAGGTAGGATGTTGGTTTTTAGCTTCTAAAATTGAATTTCATTTCTCCCATCCAAGTACTAACCAGGCCTGACCCTCCTTAGCTTCCAAGATCAGACGAGATCGGGCACATTGAGCGTGGTATGGGCATAGAATGCATTTCATTTCATTTCCTTTCCTTTGTAAATATACTTTTTATTCATCAGTACAGTTCTCATATGCTTTATAGAACCCTAAGATAGGAGGACTGTTTAGTTAGTTAGCAAGTATTTATGAAGCACGTAACATGCACAGCAGCAGAGACCCCAGAATGGCAAATGTGTGCCTCCCTTGACCTACATGCATTTGAATTTCATCCATCTTACAGTCTAAAAGAAACAACTGTAGAGAAATATAGGTTTTTGTTTAATTATATTCTAATTTCCTTAGCACAAAAATTCATTCAGTGTTTCAGCCATTGTGATAAGGTAACAGATAATTTAGGGATCTATTTGCTTTTTTCGAAGAAGCAGCAATCCTGGAGAGTCATGGAATAGATGTGCAGAGTCCAGGAGGCCACTCGAACAGTGATGACGTCGACGGGAATGACTACTCTGAGCAGGTGAGCCCCTGCACAGCTGGGCGAGGTTCTTGGTGCCTGAGCAGGGGAACAGTGGGACAGCTTAGTTCCGTGGGTGTGGCTGATGGGGTGGGGGAGGGGAAGCAGTCACTGTCCCTCCACTCTGCTCCTGTGTCTAGTTAGAGTTCATGTAATTTGAAAGGAATGTGGTAAGATTCGGTTGTCCTGTTGAATTTGTGAGAAATCGTTATTCACCCACATGGATTTATTGTCATACAACAGGATACTTGGCAAGTACGCAATGGGGAGGAGGAGGAGGGAAGAAGTTCAGAGGGAGGCAGAGAAGCAGAGAAGGTAGAAGAAGAGAGGAGGATCTGATCCAAACAAGCAAGTTACACCATTCACGACACACACTCAGTGTTTGAGAAATACTAGGGGCAGCTGGACCCCATGCCTAAACATGTACCGATGCAGGGCACGATGGAAGGCCCCACTCACTCTGGCCCCACTGCAGTGGGAACCCTCCTGCCCAAAGGAGTGGTTCTTCCAGAGTCTCTGGCACACTGACACATGCATCCTCTCATAAGTGCAATACCTGCATGATTCGTCACCTCGCCCTGATTTATTCTGCATTGCTTTTGGGGAAAATGTATTTAATTGTAGCCACTGCATGGAGTAATTCAGTAACTAAGACCGTGGGAGTTCCTCCTTGACCCCACATAGATGTTGACATATTTCATTAAAATTTTGATAGGATGTAAATTTCCATTTGGAATATGCAGAGAACGCATGGTGCCTTCCCCTAGACCACAGCAAGAAAACTTCTCATTTTTCTGGGGTCTGTGCTTTTTCCTTGCCCCCCAGCCAGCTCATATAGTCCAGTGTGTTCTTTAACAGCCTCTGTTTACCACACGCCTAGAATGCATGCAAGTCTGTGCTGATCCCTTTGTAAATTCTAAAAACTAATCTGTGAACATCAGAAGGAAACAATGATGTCCACACTTCCAAAGAACTACCATTTTTTTCCCTTTAGGACTCTACTTCATAGCCCCAAGAGAATATTCTGTAAGTCTTTCTGTTTGTATACATTCCTGTTATTTTTCAGTCTACCCACAAAGATGGATCATTTCCATCTTTTTTTACAGATGCCCTAAGGGCAGCACATCCCATGTTTTGTTTGTTTTTTTCCTTAAGGGACTTACCCTTTCCAAAGCTCTTTGATACAGAATTCCCCTGAAGATGACAGGTGAGAAACATACCCCTTATTTGTAACACCGTCTTCAGTGCCTGACGTACATCCTGCAATGCCAGCTTCCTTCACAGCTTTATTGTTTAACACATTGAGCTGCGCGGGGAGGACAGCCTCACACTTGTTCTAGGTAAGACGCCTGCCGCTGCCCTTGCACAGCTGCCTCCAGCAGGAGAGCTCCACACCTTCCTCCCCTTTCTCCCATAGCCATTTCCAGCAGAGACACGTGTCCTGTTGTAATTGAGAATTCCTTTTTTTTTTTTTTTTTTTAACAAAAATGCACTTTTTATCTGTAAGATGTAATTGTAAGTTTTGTCTAGTTTTCTCAGTTCAGAGAGGGACCATGAATTCTAATAATCTATTTGTAAAAGCAGCAATCTGGAATTTAATAGCTCACTAGTATGGCCTTCAGTGATTAGTGCTATATTTGTTACAAACAGAAAGATCCAAATATCCAAATTGTTGGTTTTATATCAATCACTGCAGGTTTGATCATCATCACCAGCAACCTTATTAATAGAATGAATAGAATTCTCAGTGAGGAAAAACATTTTTTGTGCTTTTTACTTGTTGAATCCTAAAATTATCAACTGAAAATCTTTGGACCTATATCCATTCAGTGTCTACTTAAATACAATTTACCTCTATTCTATCATGAGCCCCTCCCCCAGTTTCCTCCCACGAATGTTCTGCCTCCCCTTGCCCCAGCATGTCTTTCTGTGACTGAAGAATTCTTCCAATCCACTAATAACATTTCTTATTTCTGCACATCTAGGATGACAGTACGAGCCATAGTGACCACCAAGACCCCATCTCATTAGCTGTGGAAATGGCAGCAGTCAACCACACTATCTTGGCATTGGCCCGACAAGGAGCCAACGAAATCAAGACAGAGGCCCTGGATGATGACTGATCAGGGAGGTTAAACACGACAAGTTAACTTAGTTTAGACGTAGCACCTTAGCAGACTTTCCTCGGTCCTTAACATGTGTTCTTACAGTATAACTTGCAGTTTCTTGTATGTCAGGTAGCCGTTAGGGTCTTGTTCTGTGAAGATGGCATGGTGCCCTCAGCCTTTGCATATACTCTCTCAGTATTAATTCCCAGTAAATAATAACCAACCAACCAACCAAACTTCCCTCTCCCAGCCCGTGAGGCTAGAAAATCTTGCTGCTCCGTCTTAGCATTCCAAGAAAGTGCTTCCAGGTATTTAGATAGCCCTCAGTTCTGAAATATTAGGCTATGTGTAAAATCTTGGGTACCTTTAGATTCTTGTAACACTAGTCTGTACCCCCTTTTCCTTCCCCAAGACTGATAGGATGCAAGCTGAGGTTGTGGCACAGGAATGACAGACACCATTTGGGGAGTATCCACAGAGTCAAAGGAACACTAGAATCCCCACCTCAGTGTGAGGATAATTGATTTCCAGCTGCAATAAGCCGTGCCTCATTATAGCCACACTGTGGCTAGATTATACTTCTTTGGGTGCTGTGCTAAGAATGTCAATGGAAAAAGTCGATCTCAGATTTTGTTTGAAGTTAACATGCCTGACACAGGCATCCTTTCCTCTCACAAGCTGTGTGACTTAGTAGATAAAATACTGCCTTCTGCCTTTGGGACCATGATTAAAAACAAAGACAAAAACCAAACGTCATAAAAAAAAAAAAAAAAAAAAAGGCCCAGCTTGAGAGCATTGGAAAAAAACATGAGCTGAATGTCTAATGGATGCTAAGTCCAGTTTTCAGAACCACTGTACATTCCGCGGCACAGTTAGCAGTGCCTGCCTGGAAAAGTTTTGGAGGTCATCGTGGAAGTTGCTTTGCCTCCTGTCAGTGTCCCCTTTCCCTGCTACCAAAAAAGTCTTTCAAGGATGGAGCTAAGGTCAAAAATGAGTGAAAAACCTTGCAGTGTTTGTATCCATTAAACGGAAGCCCCCTCAATCTGAGAGGTCGCTAGAGGACTTCATAGTGGGGTTGTGCTGCCTGTCACAGACGCAGACACTTGCCCAGAGAGGAGCAGAGAAAAGCAGGGGACGTTTCCTACTCACATTGTGGCTGTACGAGAACACGATGGGACTGCTTTGCTGTTCTCTTTACTCTGTCCTTGGAGAGGTGTGAAAAGCTGTATTGCTACAGGCAATTTATTTAATAATTGGAAGCCATATTGATAATGGATGTGGTAATATTTGTAAAGTTTAATCTACTTTAAGCGGCAGTAACTAATGGAATTTTTTTCCTTGATCACATATGTAGCACTTTTGTTACTTTTTAAAGATATTTATATTTGATAAATCTTTTTTTCATTTTGAGAACTCAAAATACCAAACAGTGAACTTGCGTTATAAAGTCACCCTGTGATCACCTTGTCATCTAGTAGCAAAATGATGAACTATTCATGCATCAAAGAAAATTACATCTGCTGGCCTTGTATGAAAATGATCTCTTGGCATCCCGATTAAATGACACACTGTCACTGTGGGTAAGAGGAAAGAGCCTTCAATGTAGCAGCACAGGGTGCGTCTGAAAGAGGCACAACTGCTGTGGTTTCTGCCTTGCTCCATCTCTCCTATGTATAATGAAGCCTTGTTTAAAGGGGCATGTGGGGCTGGCTGTTAAGCAGGGCTTCTTTTTGTCCATTACCTGAAAACAATTTTTAAGATAAAAGGAAGGTGCCGTTTCCTTACCTCTTCACCCATCCTCCTCCACCAAATGTATTCAATGGCCTTCCTCAATTTTCTTTCTCATTCAGGAGATACTGAATATCCACCAGTTTCCAGCTGGTCTCCTTCCACTTAAGGCACACGCTGACTGCGTCATTTCCTTATCTGTTAATCCTGCTTATGTGAGTGTGAGGAAAGTCTTCGAGAGGGCATGAAAGTGCCACCTTATATATGTCTGTGACTTTAAAGAACTATATGCAGGGCCTGGTCCTGCTGTTGTCCATGGATTTCAGGGGGAAAAAATATATGTACTTTTTTCAGCTTCCAAGCATTGAAGTAAAGTGGAGCCGTCTCTTCTGTTTTACTGTATTACTTGAACCAACAAATTCAAGAGTAGCATTTGTTATTCTCAGGAATGAGCCTCCCCCCCGCGGCCAACTCATATTCTTTCTTGGTTTATCTGACTTTTTATTTCAATTAGGAGATTGTGTTCTCTTGCTTTCCTTTTATTTTGCTTAAAGGAAATGTAACATATTTCCATTTTTGTGGAATTTTGACTGCTTATTCCCAGTTGAATCAAAATACAAGGAGACAGAGAAATATCCACTCTGACAAGCCACATTCATGATTGATTGTAAGGAGATTATTATAATTGATAGCTTCTTTATCATGGGATTGCTAGTATCATTTGTACTTGCTAGTCTTTTTAAAGGAACAGACTCAAACTGTTAAGACAGCTGCAGTTTCTAAAGAACTACAAAGATTGTCATAGATGTACTCAAAGGTTTCATTGTTTTAACACCTTTACGGGAGGAAAAAAGCTTCAGAGAATAAAGGCAAGTTCGCATCCATGAAGGGCAGTACCAGACCCTATATGGCAATGTGGTGAAACTGAAAGAATATTTCTGCCACTGCAGGAGAATGTCCTGGAGAGCTCAGTGGGAGCAGGAGGAAGGCATCTTCCACCCACAGCTGTTCTTGTCATTGGAGAAGACCGCTGGCTGCTCTGAAGACCCACTGCCTTACATGTCACTTTTGCTTTTTCACCAAGAGTGAGAATTTACTTCCTCTGGGCCTAGATTTAAACCTGTTAGTTTTCTGTTTGTCACCAAGTTCAATTCTGCCATCTTGTCCAGGCCACCTTGGTTCTTATAATGGTGTGTGGCACTGCTACTGTTACATTTCTAGTGTCTTTAGGTAGTATATTTCTCTCTTAAGCTTTTTCAGGTTTTAGTGGCGGAATTAAACTAGAAACCCTAAACTTCCTTATTACTGAAGGGAAAGCAGCCAGGCTCTAAAAACTCACACTGTGTGCTTCTTGGTTGTTC